AAAATCCTGCACCCAGACTAACATTAAACAGCATTACCTGTGAAACCTGTGCAGCAGGTTTCATTTTGTAAGCTATGATAAGCTTATCACTTATGATTTTCCAAGTGGGTTTTTGTTTTTGGGGTGGTTTTTTTGTTTGGTTTGGGTGTGTGGTGGGGTTTTTTGTGATTTGTTTTTTAGGCGAACTCAGACACAAGTTCTGGTTTGCCACCCACTGCAATTGGTTATACTATTTCCTATTTACAAGGGAGGGGGAAGCAACCATACAAGTAATATAGTAGCTTTTAGTATTCTAGATTTTCAGTTGTCTATCAGATCCTCCCACAAAATCAGAATTACTCAATTATTTGCTTACTGGTATTTCAATTGCGTTAAAGTTCAGCAAGTTGCACTTATTACCATAACTTCAGGAGATATCCTCCACGTTAAGCACTTCATATTTTTGTTTCATAAGGAGTGTCAGATTTAATCTTCATTAAGGAATTGTATCTAAAATAGCATTTAATCTGACAAGTTTCCTAATCATATTATTTCCAGGTATACACTACTATTTTAGCATCCAGCTGGCAAGAGGAAAAGTCTCATCCAAAGGCTGTTATTTGAGCAGTCTAACCAGAAGAGGTAGACAGACAATCGGATGCGGCAGATCACAGTCTCCATCTCATACATTTATAGGGCAGATTTTTGAATAAAGCATGCACAGCCATATTTCTGAATGTGGCAAAAACAACACAGTAGGTTGGAAAGGAGAAAAAGAGACATTCCTATTTGTCAAACTTTGTAACTTAATATGCAGTCATTTAAACCACATTATTGAGCTTCTGTAATCTACCTTGCTTTAAGTGACTGAAAAAAGATTGTGACAAATACTGAGGCAATGATTCCTCTTTTCCTGTTTGGTTACAACTAAGACCACTAGCAAAACCTTCCCTTTAGCCTTTTATTCTACTATTGTTCTCCTGCTGACCCCCATCACCCATTACTGAAACTGAAAATCACCTACTTACAAGTGAGCAACAACAAAAAATCCACCACACGCTTTAGGGAGTTAGCTACTCCATTCCTGCCCTATCTATAAACAGAAATGGAACTAGCATACTTGAAAACCTCAGACAGTTTCCTCAGGCATGGTAATCGTGACTTGTTCTAACAGATCAAATTTCACCAAATACATGACTGTCTCACTTTTCTCAATGCTAGTTTTAGACTGGGGAGAAGCAGGGGGAGGGAAGGAAGAGCAGATCCTGGTTATTACCTTGCAGCCTTGTCAACATGCAGCATGTGACTGCACAATGCAAACATCTGAGGTTTTTACTTTTTCCATAGCAAAATTTTTCAAGAGATATTAAACAATAATATGAGGTTAGTTTAATAAGTGTGTTTGTTTTAGGAGTCAGATCATTAAACATAATTAAACAGTGAACACTTAAAACCATCTAATTCTTATTTCCTTGGTCATCTATTCACATGCCACAGTGGCATCAGTTTATGAACATTAAGGACTGTCCTCTTAAAATTAAAACGTATGCAACGCAATGATGAAATAGACTTTTTTTTTTTAAATATAACCTTATACAAGGAGGAAAAATAACAGAGCAACAGACAGGAAGCCATGGCTGCCTAAGGATCTGTCATCACAGCCAAACACCTATTGGAAATCACAGCCTTACATCTGTTGCACTACCACGAACATACAAAAAGCACAACGCGACTGACTTCTATTGTTGGGAGACCAGATAACAAAGTCTCGCATATTCTGGAACCACATGCTTTCAAACAGAACTCGGAAAAAAAACAGATGGGATCAGCTTCAAATGAAAGAAATAGCTCTATCTGTGCATCCTTCAAAGAGAAAGTAAGTGAAAAAGTGGGACTAAAGTCCTGCACATTGCTCAGCCATAGCTCCAGAAAGCACATGTTAAGAAGTTACCTCCACCATCAAGAGCACTGACTACTCAGTCTCTAATCAAAATCTTTGAAACTAAAGATTGCCAGCAAGAACAACCAACCTTATCAAAATCTGTAGTTATAATACACAGAGAACAGGTCTATATAGTGGCCAGCCAAGCCCCAAAGTGCAGGGTAGTATAAACTATGATCTGAAGCAGACTGGTAGCAGACTTCATATCCTCAGTGTACTAAGTGCCTTTAAATTATACAGGCACATGAATTCTATCTCAGGGTTTCTGAATGTTAATGCAAAAAACAGTCCCAAAGAAAGCAAAGTATTCATAACAATATGGGATGGAAGTAGGCACTAAAGGTAACAGTAACAAGGTCTGAAATGAAGCAAGACAACACTCATGCAGGGATACCAGGGAGTGGGGCAAAACCTTCCTATTTTGGGGTACACACAGTTTCTTCCTGTACTTCTTTCACTATTCAATGTTTTCTAAGAAGGAAAGGATGAATAAAAGTATACCAACGCCATCACAGGTAACTTTTTTCTTCCTTAAGAAGGAAATATACATTTAATCAACACAAGGAGTATAGAGAAGTAATTACAGCCTACCTGAACAGGAAGGCTTTATTCCCTATGACAGATGCAATACCTGCCACATTCATCTGTGGCCACTTCTACATAGGAGAAGCACTACTTTTTGGGGCAATATATATATTTCTAACAGAGGAAGAAACAGAGAGTCTTCTGAAAAAGACTCTATTCTTCCTACATCAAGAAGCTAGTATGACATGCTTTTGAGATTAGCATTATGAATATTACTATTCCTATTACTTGAAAGATGGTAAAAATGCTGAAAAGACAAAAATATAGCTTCAAAACTGTTCTGATTCTGAAGCTATGTGCATCCATAATCATGAAGAGAAGAATGGCTTTGGGGAGGGGTTGGTGGTGGTTTCTTCTGGTTTTTAATTAAGTCAGCCACACCTACAAAAAAAGATAAACTTAGTATAGGTCTTGATGACTAAATGGATCCCGAGGAAGGAAAAATATGCAAAAGTTGCCTAGAACTAACAAAACCTAAACCTTAATACCAGTTGTCTGGTAAGAAACATATTAGCACCCTGAGTGCAACATTCAGAGCATTTTCTAGACAGGCTGCAAGTCCTTCTATGTTGAGTTAGGGCCTCATGCTTTGCCACAGTGTCATGCTTAACATTTGATAAGAGAGAAATGTCCCTTTTGACTAGAAGAGTATTCCAATTTATACAAGAGACCAAAATCCACTCAAGCCATTCCACTCGACATTTCCTCCTCAGTCACAGAGCGACACACCTTCTAGCTACAGAGATGGTACCACAAAGCACCTATTTCAACCATTTGGGTTTCTCCCACAGGAAGTTGCTGGGAGCAGCAGAGGCCTGAACTGATACCTCTGAGCAGCTTAACGTTCCAGAGAGTATAGATTATCCAAATTATAGATATTCCTAGAAGGGATGAGCCAAATATGCCAAGAGTATGCACATCTGTTAACCATTCCCCTCACTTCATTTCATAAAAGCCAGTACTCAGAATATCACATGGTATTGAGCTATCTGGCATGAAACATTGAGATTTCTCTACAAAGAAATTATTTTACACAGATCTGTGTAAATCTTTCTACATATTTTTCTAGTAGTTCTGGACTAATTATGATGAAGTTGTTGTGTGGGTAAGCACACAATTCCTTGAGTTATTTTCATCAAGCATGCTGACCTTCTAACCTTCTCAAAAAAAGAATCACTCTCCAAATTAAACAAACGCTGCTATTTTATTTTAAAAGCTTTCATCAGCTTTCCCAGCTGCTGTAGAGAGCTTTATAGAATTACTGCAAGAGATGCCATGACATAACTAATGCCAGTTTCAAATGGCAATTTGGAAAACCAGTTCCTCAAATGAGGAAAGCCCAGACTATGCCAAGACAATATTGGCCTAAATAGTTAAAAATAAACTCTTTACTATTGATTTATAGCAACAACACACAGAAGAAATGGATGGACAAGGACACCCCAGAGAGGAAACATTTGCCTTGACCAGGGTGGAGAAAGAGATGCCTAGAACTAAAGGACAAGTTTATACATAAATTAAAAGCAGCAGTTCACAACTACTAATAGAAACACACACAAACATGTGCTTCTGCTTCTTTTGCTCCAAAACAGCTCTAATTTTCTTTCAAGTTTAAATTTATTGCAGAAGATGCCAACAATGGCCAACTCCACTCCCAAAAAGCAAAGCCACTGATCTCAAAATTTCCTGCATGCAAGATTTAACACATACATATATACACACACAAAAAAAAAACCCACACAAAAAACCCCATGGTCTAAGCTTTAAATTACTTTGGATTTTAAAAGCTGATTTGGGAACAGCGATTAAACTTGTTCCAGCTAACCTAGTTTTTATTCATTTCATTATTTATTGCTAGGCAACATAGACCGTGTCAAACCACGTTAGAACCATGAGAAGAAGTCCTTCCAATTTAGATCAAAAATTCTCCTCTCACCCTCCTCCCCCTCCATGTGGAGGCCACATGTATTCTTTTAACACCAGTGTTCCCAGACACAACCTTCTTTCTGACCACGAGCTGACATTTCAAACTCTCTTCTCCACATGTCCCATAAGATGTAATTTATCCAAACTTCATGTGGTGCCTGTAAATAGCTCTCTAGATCCCGCTTGCTCAAAGAATGAGTCTTTGTTAGTATTTACAATCAGAATTAGTCCCAGTCACTACACTGGCAAGTCCAGAGCAGGTCTCTCTTCACATGGGTATCTTTTTCTTCTTTTCTAGAAGATTCTAGCTTCTTTTCCAACATCCCTATTATCCGTGGTCTGTATATGAGTACCAGTACAGAATAGACTGTCTACTACCTTTGGTATTACTTCCTTTTGTCATAAGGAAGTTTTGAAGAACTCCAAAAAGGCAGAAAAACAACAAAGAGCAGAGATCCAGGTTCCCAAATAAACCATAAACAGCGTGCTCCTAATTAAATGTTTCATTTAGCATGAAGCTTAAATAAACCCTACAACTTCTTTAATAAAGCAAAATAAAACATCCTACCTTTTGTTTATAGGTTTTTCATCTTTCTCATAAGGCTTCACAAACCATTTCCCAATGCGTACAAAATTCCGATTCATTAGACACCTCTCCAACAGGTTGTGAACTGCTTTGAAAAGTAGAGTGCGACATTCGTAAGAAAGTCCATTCTCCCAAACACCATCTTCCTCTTCTGTAAGGTAAAGGGGAAAATTAAATTAGCATTGAATTCCATCCTATTATTTCATGCACATATCACAACATCCTTTTCTTTTCCACAAGCTTTTAAGACATTCACAGCATAACACGCAACCAAAAAAGTCTGTAACATTCAGATAATAAATAACTCTACTCACTTTATAACAGTATAACTGCTAAAAGTAATCAGCTATAAAAATATCTCGTCTCCCACAAGAAAAAAAGGTTCAACAGCTACTTGTACACAAAAGGAAACAACTAGTGCTATTTCAGCCTGCGAGATCACTGTATACTGATCTGTCTGCAAGGTGGCTCATGTTTTGGGTAGTCCAAATTACTTATCCTCAGAGTTAGCTGACAATTATGCTTAAAAATAAATTGCCCAAAGCCAAACTTTTAATATATCGTAGTGTCTTTAGCTACCATTGACTGCAGAAAGCTGGGCACAAATGTCAGTGATCAACTAAACCTCAGTGTTCAACAATTTGCTAGAGGAAGGGAAAAAAAAAAAACCCAGATTCAGAAAACTGGTAAGAACAACCTGATTCTCCGCAGAAGACTCTCACAACTGCAACTTTTCTTTTTAATTCAAAATAAAAAAAGATATTTAAGCAGGCTAGTCCTGCTTTCTGATCTATACATAGAACAGAAGAGAAAAACAGCAAGCAGAAAGACAAAGCCCAGTTCCTACTGATAGGATTCTGAAGTGAAACCCTGAGATCTTATGTGCCCCACAAATCAAACACAGTCATGGAATCCAACTTACACAAGCCAAGTTGATTTGCCAAATCGGAAAGCAAGATCCATTACAAGAAGCTGTAATGTCTTCAACCACTGGCTCATAATCAGTGTTTGAACATAGTTTACGAGCCCTAGAAGTATATGCACTGGTCCAAAGAATTACAATGGCATTACAATTACATTACACAAGTAAAATGAGGGACATTTGAAAGTTCCTGTAGTATCTCTCAGTGTATATGTGGTATCATTCATTCCCAGCAACACACTAATATGGAGGATAAGATAAGAAAACTCGAGATCTTGTCCTTAAATTACTGGCAATCAGGTCTTATCTTTATGCCTACAATTCCTTGTATATCGTGTTTCATATATATCCCTAAGGATCTGCTACTAGTCTCCTTGGACTAACCTGGCATAGTTATTCTTATAATGCCATTGCTTTTACACTCCAGGTAGCAGCAGAGACTAGAAGATTGTCTGACATAGATAAGGAGACATATTTTTACTTCAGTCTCTGGATAGTCATGGAATAATTTAGGTTGAAAGGGACCTGTGGAGGTCACCCGCTCCAACCCCCACGCAGAGTTCAAAGTTAGAACGGGTTGCTCATATCTCACATTCATTGCCCCTCATACCTTCTCTGCACACCTCCAAGAAGCGAGGCTTGGGTTCAGGTTTAGTTCCGTACAACAGGTCTTACAATAGCAACCTGTCTGTTCACCTCTCCTTCACAGAGGATTTTGGTTCAAATAGCTTTCCACTGGTTTGCTCAATGGTCAGAAAACTTCAGTAATACAGCCAAGTCCTTGCATTTTAAATCCCCCTTTGAAATAAGCCCCTCCACCTTTATCTGGAAGCCACTTACAAGCTTAAAAGGTTGCAATAGTATTAACTAAAGTCTCAATATCCTTAAATTAGAGATCATGTAGAAAACCAGACACCTAAGAGTTTTATTTAGGAAAAAAACTCTTATAGATTATTACAATAAACAATCTTCAGGAAAAAGATGAAAGACAAGAATTTCAAGATACTATTACAACCAGAAGGTGGTGGCCATATTTGTATATTGCTAGATTCCACACAAATGGAAGTACATTTCCACTCAAGATCAGTATTGTTAGTTAAAGAAAATTACTCCCAGTTTCCTTCTCTGAGAGACAGAAGAAGAGTAAACAGACCTGTCCCATAATTTATAAATTAAGAGGTGCACACCATTACAGATGAATCATTACATGAAATAATTTTCTGGTAAAAACAAGGAAAAGCAAGGAACAGCATTTCCTAAGTAAGAGACCTCAGGATGAGTTTCCCACTCCATCACCCTGTTCCAGTTTTGAAGTTCAGCAAAAACTTGTTTTTAAAAAACCGTAAAGCTAAAAGATAATACAGTAACTCACTAAAGAAACATCATATAAGAAGCCTGTAACAAAAAGCAACAAAAGTCCAAAGTCAAAGGGTATAAAATGTTTGTGCCAAGAGGACACATTTTTCCCCAGCTCAGAGATTTGTAGACATACACAAATGAGCAGCTCTATCCTACAGGCAGCTTTGCTGTTCAGCGCATACTGCTCAACTGGTGGCAAACAAGCAGCTCAGCAGAGCAAACATTAACTACAAAGCTTAATGATATTGGACTTTTAACTGCACAATAAACTCCACACCATTTCAAAGGTTAAATAGTTGGTTTCTATATGGCTCTCATAATTTAAAAAAAATCATTCTAAGAACATCCCCTGCATCAATTACCTATTATAAGAGGAAAGAGAAAGAGCTATTTCCAGCTTTTATGCCTAATTTTGTTTTGACGTATTAGTGTATCAATGAGAAGAAAGACGCCGAAATCATACAGATACTGAAGTGTAATTCAAAGCTTGTATTTTGAGAGGTTTCAATTTTCTGAAGACACTACAAAGTGCTAGGTATTTCATTTAACGTTAATAGTTGTGCTGACAACCAAGTTATGAACAAAAGTTTACATGCAAGAACTTGCCACAAGATTGTAATTCTTAAGAGCTCTCCTAGCTGTCTTAGTTTATTGCTGAAACAGAGAGCTCTTAGATGAGCATATTATGTGGGGAAAGTGTAAGGCATTAGATGGAAATTACAATTAAAACTCTAATATTTAAAAAGACAGCATGCTGTAAGCATGCCTACTGATCAGGAAGAACGTCTGGTACCCAAAATAAGACCACCTGTTCAAACTGAAGTGCATCTTGCTATAGAAAGGGAATATTAAATAAGATGACAGTTAAAGATACCCTCATTTCAGAACATTATTCAAATTCATGCAAAAAAAATAGCAGTAAGTGTTCTGTGTCTTTTTGAAGTCTATTTAGTCATTCCCCCCTCCCCCTTTTTTAGAGTGGCGGATGGAAGGAGAGAAATATGACATCTGCTCACATCTCCCAGCTATTTTTCTTCTTCATTCAAATTGTTGTTTCTCAACATGAGAAAAAGCCTCCTACTTAACAGAAATTGTACAAAGTAAACCATTTTTAAAAAGAGAGGGAGAAGAAGAGGCACTTTTGGTTTCTAATCTTTCTTAAACACAGTAACTTCAAATGTTCAATCTGATAGTGATAATAAACCAAAATAAGTTGCTGATTCATTTTAAGAAGGTGTTAAGCCACAATTTCACTTCAGACGAGTGTTATCCACAAAAGTGCTCTGGCAACCTGAAGGTTACAAGTGTTTTGGGTTTGATTAGTCCTCTTAGCTGTCCAAACCACTCAAACCCTCTGTGACATATTTTTATGTCAGTCCATTAAACAAACGTATATATATCATCGCACAATAACTAATTTTGTTCCCTCCCTCTTTACACCCCATATTAAGCAGAGAGTTTCCCTTAAATGAGGCTAAAAATTATCATGAAATGAAGGATTACAGGAAAAAGCAATTTTCATACTACATGTAAATAACAAACTTTTCTCAGTCAACAATTCCTTGAAACTACCACCATCCAATTTTAATTAAACAGTTGTAGGAGCCTTTCGCTTTCAGTACTTTTATATTCTACCTTACATTCTTCATACAGTTCACCGGAAACAGTAAAGTTCATTTTTACTATTAAATTATTGTTATAAGTTATTAAATTTATTAATCAAAGATTGCTAACAAATACACAGATCCCTGCTTAATGTTATGTTTTTTGCAAGAATACCAATTTTGAATTTCTTTTGTTATACTGCAACAGATAAATATACAGTATTAAAAATGACATTTTCAAGAACACTTTTAAAGAATGTGGACTTTCCCCCTTCTTCCTTTTAACATATAACTGGCCACATCAGCAAAACACCAGTAAGCATCAACTCTTGAAAAGGCTGAATATGTTTACCATACCACTAAAAATATCTTCCTAATGCTCAATGAACCTCTAAAATAAACTATGCGAAGAACCAAGCCACAGTCAAGCCCCTACTTTGGACTACAATTCCCCCTCCCCCAATTACTTCAATTACACAGAGGAAAAATCCATTCCTTAGTATCATGACTGAGATGCGTCTTTCAGAAGTATTACTTACCTTCATAGGCTTCCTTTCTGTCATGATTTGACAGCATGCCAGTTACAGAAATAGACTGATGCAAAACTGATTTATACAATCAAACTCCCTATATAAGCTTCAGGTTACAAGGAAAGTATAATAAGCAAAGTAGCGTGAAATTGCTGCTGTATGCAGTATTGTAATAATATGACAGAAACACTTCAAGTAAAGTTTTCTGTTTAAAAAACAGATTTTTATATTCAAATACTTTAAGATTAAATAAAATTGCTCCAAGCAAGAATTAACCTACTGAAAAATAATTTGGAGGGCCTATATCCCCTATGAAATAAATGAGAAGCAACAGATTTTGTGTGAAAAAAGGGACTGACTACAAACTCAAAAATACCAACTTAAACTCAAGTTGCCTTACTTGGATTCTTGTTTCTAGTAGAATGTACCTGTTATCTACAGGTTATCTACATTCACTGAAAAGAGCCTAGATATAACACTCTAGATACCCAAACTAGTTGGAAAATTCCATCAACTGAGAAGCTAGCCAAACATGACCTACTGTCTAAAATACCACACTCAAAATATTCAGCACCAATACAAGTCAGTTTTTGTAGTGCTAGCCCTTTACCAGCATCACATATGTAGGTTTTATGTTTTCGCTACCCAGCAGAATGTTTTTCTAAATCTTAAAAATTTAAAACTATGACCTTTTTGTAAGTGTGTAGCTATGCCTGCTTATAAGGGTAACAAGGTAACAGCTGTCCTTCACTATTTGTTGGGTCTAAGGTTGGCTGGTCTGGTCTGCATGACCACAAGAAAAGAAAAGCTGAAAAACTTTCTAGCCAAATGTTCCAATATCCTCCTCCACACCATCTTGGAGTAATTCAATACGCAGATATATTTTACTTATATTGTTAAATCTTACCCTTAGTGCCCATGGAGTCATTCCTCTTATTTATACAGGTATATGATGCATGTGACATTGTATGTACAATCAACGTAATATGATGCAAAATCCTCATTTACTGTGACAAAGCATTTTTCACCTTACTCCACAGATATTTCACATGCATGTTGGTCAGGAGAAAAAAGGAAAAAAGTTAAACATCATCTTTGACCTGGTACTCACACCAGGTCACAGAAGTTTTACAAAGACTGCTTCAGTAGTTTTTGCATAATGCTTATCAGCAGTTTTGCTTAAGTGGACATATCTCTAACATGAAGGACTGAAGAAACGCTAAAGCACCAACGCACCACGCGGCAAGGAACATTCGTAACGCCTTCTTATTACATACACAGGAACATACGTATCCACCACAGACAAGTTACTTAAGCTCACTGTACTGACATTAGGTGCAAAATTTTTAAGAAAGAATCTTTTTATTTTTGTAGGAGTTAAATGGTCTTAGGAAGCAAATGTTATTAAAAAAAAAAATGCAAGCCACTAGCTGAACTATTTTCAAAGCTCACTTTGCCAACTACTTGCAACTGGCAGGCTTTTTTGCAGAACCCTCGGTATGATAACTGGCTCATACTCTGGTTTCCATTGTATTAAAAGTAATGAGACACTCAGTGCTGACATCAGCACAAACCACCCAATTCACGGATTTGTTTGGAGACAAGGATTTGATCTATAATGCACATACACTGAGAACTACACAACACATAGAAGTCTTTGCTGCCATGACTGTTGCTGTTTTACATTATCAACAGACAAGCGTCAGTATACAGACCTTTCTCCTTTTTCTTTAAAGCTCTCCTACAAGCCCAGCAAGGAGCCAAGACGAGCATTACTTTTATACATTCATCCCTTGCAGAAGCATGAGGAAGACTGTTCAGCAAACAAAAACTGATTAACTTGATATATGACAGGTACAAGGAAAACTCTTTAGAGTAAATTAACAAGATTTAATAGACACCAGAACAAAAAAGATGCATCTTATAGCTTACAATTTAAAAGATGCAATTTGAAGGTCAAAGGCATATAGAAGCCTTCCCCTATCCAAGCATTAATCAAATTGTAACCATTTTCTTGGGACTATGTCTTGTACGTAATTCATACCCAACTGTCCTCAGGTTTGAAACCATCTACTGCCAATTTAAAAAAATCCAAGTGTAGTGGTAACCACTTTAAAACAAGAAAGAACCTATCTGATAAAATAACTGCTGATCAGACCAGCGAGAGACCATTGCCTTCAGAAATTTGAAGGGTTGTCCTACTTTAAGGTTGGAGTTGCAGGAATTACTATAATCAAGACTCACTGTCACAACAAATACATAACTTTTGAGGTTGTTAGAGGATAAAATAACATTTCACTAACTTCTGCCTGCCTCTAGCTATGTTGGGGTAGAAACAGACTTACGTTTTTTTTGGTATTACATACAGTAAGTAGCTTCCTAGGGAAGGAAAAAAAAATGATTGAGTGAAGTCAATATTACTGATCAATCAGCATCTCTGAACAAGTCTCCTTTTGACATGCCCCCAGGCAACAACAAACCCTGACCATCAACAAGACAGTTATCCAAGGCTTGATATGAGAATTCAGATATAGCCAGTAGCAGGCATTCAAACATATCTCCAGGGCAAAGAATGAACTTCCAGAATGTACAGGCTGAAGAGACAGAGAGAGAGAAATTATTTTTTTAATCTGATATGCATAGATGTACACCCACAAACTGTACATTCCCTCTTGAAGTGATCTTGGGAAGGGACTCTGTAGGGGACAAAAGGATTCTTGAAGGCTGCCATATTTCAAATCCCCGAGGGTTGATAACCAAGCTGTGTTCCACACACTGAATGTCCATTGTTCATTGAAACTACAAATCATCAAAAAAGTCAAACACTCTCAAAATACCAACCTCTCCTTGACAGGCATAGTTTCATACCAAAGGAAGCCAAAATCAAAAGTTATTAACATTGCCCTGGCATACTTCTAACTACAGCTCATTCAAGGCCCACTTCCCCAAGAGAAGTCTGTCCATAGGCAATAAAGGACATGCTAGCAGCAACAGACTGCTCATAGCCCCTCTCTTCCTCCCTCGCCCCATTCTTCAGCACAATTCTGCCCCTACCGAGTAGAAAAGTTCTAAATGAGGCAGTACCTTAACCTTCAGCAGCAAACAATTTCCAATCAATTTTGCAAGTAACAAGCCTCTGCTAGGAAGTAATTTATCTTTCCCATTGAAAATGTAACAAGCAATCACTGGGAGAACAGGGCAATGTGAATTACTAGGAGAAATTGTCCAGCAATGAAAAAAATCCATTAGGTCTATGACAAAGGTCAGATAACATTGTTTGGCTTCAGCCATAATTCTTTCTTCTATGAGGTTCACATTAAGATTTTGTGTAACGGGAAAGAGAAAAAGTGCAGGTGCAGGCACTCCTCAGCCATCTCCTCCACAATCTAGCTGACTAATATCTTATCAACTTCTGGTCAGAAGAGCCAAGCAGACTAACACACTCTAAGAGTGTCCTTTAATTAAAAGGAGACAAAAACATGCCTGCAAAAACCAAGATGTCAGATACATCTACACAGAGACACAGGTAACAGTCTCATGAGTGATAAGCATTTATGTAGAAAAATATCTAACAGCAAGACGTGTACCATAGCTCTACTGACGCACAGACATCCACAGGTGACCTGAACAAAGAAAATACCCCAAACAATTGCAAAGACATGGCTGGGAGACTCTAATCCTCTACCCTCTCTCCCTTATACCCTAAGAGAGGTTAAGAGTTGATAAGCACCTAGGATGATACGTGCTTACCTACCTGTGCAAAAGTGTAATTCCATAAAAGCATAAATACACACCAAGCTAAAAGTTCAGCTACAAAACACCACTATTTTCAAAAGGTACCTCTACACTGTATCACTAGTAGATAGATTCAAGAGAGAACACAAAGAAAATTGCTAAAACAAATAATTTTGATGGCCAGGTAGTGCAGAAATGCACGCTCCAAATGGCTTAACTTTTATTCGATCTTCCACTCAAAAAATAATGTAACATATTTGTCTCAATTTAATCCAACCAGCCAACAGCATACAAAATTTACATAGATACTTTCACACAAGTGTCAGTCTCTGCTCAGGGCAGGCCCAGGCCAAAAATAGCATTTAGTCTAAGTTACATCTCAGTCATACAAAGGATGTTCCCTGCAGGTCAAGACTGAGGTTATTCATAGGGCAAAATAAGGAAGCCTTAAATGCACTAAAATATCAAGCAACCTACAATTATAAGTGCCATTTAAGATGCAAAGTTTCTAGGTCCAAGACAGACGGGAATACGACCAACATCCCAATCTTTGAAGTCAATTATTCAAAGAAATAAACACCATTTTAGCGCATCAATTGTTTTTCAGATCATATTATTTTTGTACGAAAGTTCCACAAGTTATTAACTTGTTTGAAGTCAACTTCCTCAGTGGCACTTCAAACTCGTATTTGTTCTTCAGCTATCCACAAACACACACAGCATTAACAATTTCTGGTTACCAGGTCACCAAACCTTGGTCTCATTTTACGCTTCAGTAATCTGAACACTGTACATTATTTGAAAGGAAATTGGAGTGATGTGACTTTGCTTTTTTCTAGAATTAGCATAGTCTCACCACTAGACTTACACAGATAGCTTAAAAACCTAACTTGGTCACCTTACTGATAAGCAACTGGAAAGGCATCTACTTTGGGAATTGAGATCAACAAGTCAACATTTCCAAAACAAGGTGTCAAATTTGAAGTACAACATCATTGAGAAATATAAATATTGTCAGTCTTTCAAAAGTCTAAGTTTGAAAGCAGGTACGGGTTCAGAGCACTGGGAAAGGGGGAGAGAGAAATCATAAAAATACAAGGTTTAGAGATTCTTGCATGAAAACAGCAAGCTGGTTTCAGATGCCTTCTTTTGGGGGCTTCTCGCCGATGATTTGACTTCCAATCAAAACAACTCCATACGGTTCAAGAGTTGCCCAGATCTCTACAATTCTTATTACATAATAAAATGGGGTTTACTATTTGATTTTGAAAGTTCTAATTGCCCAACAAAAGGGATCTTATCAAAACATATTTAAGACATCACTTCTGAATCACAGGCACAGCTTTAGGCACAGCTTTCTTGTGAAGAAGCTGCCAAAATTCATAGGCTTGGGGGGTTTTTTTTTTCCCCAAAGACAAGAGGGGGATTTTGAAAGTTCTAATTGCCCAACAAAAGGGATCTTATCAAAACATATTTAAGACATCACTTCTGAATCACAGGCACAGCTTTAGGCACAGCTTTCTTGTGAAGAAGCTGCCAAAATTCATAGGCTTGGGGGTTTTTTTTTTCCCCAAAAGAAACAAGTGGGGAGCAAAAACTTCTTTCTTGAAAATCTAGCAGTCCAAGACCACCTAAACACAGACGGTAGTTGTTTGATTACTGCGCTGATGTAATAATTTGGCTTTTCTGAGAGCTCTTTCCACTACCACCATAAACTCAAAGGTGTAGATTGTAGCAATAAATTTATCTTATCTATAGACAGCAGTTCATCTAGTACAGATTTTCTAAGGGCTGGCAGAAGATAGCCCTGAGTAACAGCATCCTTCCACTGACCAAAAGAAGGTTTTAATTTCCTCCTACCTGAGAGATCATGATGAATAAGGTCAGCAAAGTTGGGGTCATCACCCCACCAAAATATCCATAGCTCCCTGCGTCCAGGTCTCTGGTCTCGGCGCCAAACACTGAGTACATCCGCCTTCAAACAGCGACTGAAACTGCTCAAAATAGGGTCCTCTTCCGTGACGGGAAAGAGAATTGGGGCAGATGTTGGACCCTGCCATACATATCGCTTCCATTTAATCCCAGTTAGATCAGCCTAAGGGAAGGAAAAGAACAACTGTCAGACACTGGGGTAGGTACATCCCCAACAGAAACATCCTGCTATAACAAGATGATGGCACAGGAAGAGGTGGGTGGAAGGAAGAAAGGAAGGATTAATCCAACAAAATTTGACAGAAACCACACTTCTAAGTTTGGTGTATCTTAGAAGATAAACTGGAAATAATCAGGCACCCTGTTTTAAAATCTCCTTTAGTAACTGCAGTAAAGCAAGAGCTGTTCATTTTCACCGCAGCTTTAAGATTTCACAGAGAAAAGCCAGATTTGATTTAAAATAAAGTGAAAGATGGGTGAACAATGTAATTATTTGCAGACACCAACTGTCCAATCTACTAAACACTTGCCTTAGCAAAGAACGTCTTTCTTTTTGCTTACTTATGCATACCCTACCTTTTCAGTCCAAGATTGCTCTAAGGAAATAGGTAATATAGTAAATCTAATTCAAGCGTACATTCTTCCAGTCATCTACTATGGAAAATATCACAAGTTTCTCCATTGTAAAAAAATTCTCTGTATCTCACACAGGAAGCCTCTCAAGTACACTTATTTTACCAAGAGCTATCACACTTTTCACGTCTCGCACCACATTTAAGAATTTAAATCCTGGTTTTATCATTAAATTATATATCAGACTTGGATCCACATTGATTACGACCCACTAAATCCCCTTCTAGGCAAAAACTTGGCTTTATAAAGTAAGAGTTACTACTATATGTAATGGGAAATGGACAACTCCTGGATTATCTACAATGCAATACCATACCAAGTTTTAGCGCTAAGTTTTTTCACATGGGGACAGTCACCTTAAGGCACGTAGAGGAGGCATTGCCCCTGGGTTCTCTTCGAGAAGGGAGAACAAGGTAGGTTGGCATTTGCTAAGAGGTCACTAATTTTTTTTCTTCCCAATATGACAACACAAAAACCGATTACTGCAACACTTAAACCTAACATGGCAGCCTTCCTACCTTCAGGAGGAGAAGCAATTTAGAAGAAAGGTAGGGAGTTTTTAACAGTTGATACTTTAGAAAGACTTTAAGATTTAAAAATGCACTACTAATGTGGAGCTGCAGGCCTGATGCAGGCTGCAGACATGTTCAGGCTGTCCAGATTCCCCCTCCATCCAAAAAATATTAGTACCACAGCTTGGCACAGGTTTTTACTTATAACAATCTCTAGAATAATAAGTATCAGGCAGTCAGCTAAGATTAGCTAATTTGCATTAAAAGGAGGATGAAACAGCTCAGCACAGCCACCAAAAATTGCATCACAGTCCAGTTAAATCAAATTTACTTTGGGAGCTACCAAAATCAATAATTCGAACAATTTCCTACTTGGGTTTAAAAAGACAACAAAATGGTGCACAACAAAACATAAGATACCACCGCTTCACAGGGAACGCATCACCCAAAGCAGACCTCCAGAACAAAAACAAGCAGTAAGAGAGAGCACTTTAAAAGCAAGGAAGAAGGCAGGTTTCGGCTCAGATTCGTCTGGGATGTCACGAGTGGGGAGAGGAAAGAGAAAGTTCCCCGAGATGTGGGGCTGAAAGAAAAAGGAGCAGCAGTTCTCCTTACCTCCTGCGAGAAATACCACGTTCAGAAGCAGAGATAGGAAGATAGGGAGAAGGCAGGAAAAGTTGCAGGCGAGGAAAGCGAAGGAAAAGGCGAGTTGCAGGGAGGATACTATCCAGGAAGAAAGCGGAGGGAGGGGCAAGGCTAGACAGACAGCGATGGAGGGGGAACCAGAGGGGCATGGGAGAGTTGGCTGGCTCCAGGCAGGGCCTACTCTGAGGACTCATCCAACAGAAGCTATGCTAAAAATGGCTGCTTTGCTTCCACTACCCCTTCCTCCCCTCCCCCAAACCTCCTCTCTCTTTCACTCCATGTCTACCCTGCGTGTGTGTGTGCCGGTGGCCGACACTTACCAGGCAGAAGAGGTTGGAATGGCAATCCTCCAGGCTGGCCCCGTTCGGCACGAAGCAGGAACTCATCCTCACAGCCACAACCCACACGCCATTATCCCACAGCCTCCGACAAGAAAGAAAGAGACAGACAGAGAGAGAGAGAGAGAGAGAGAGACAGACACCGAGAGGGAAAGGGGGGAGGGGGGACTATGCACACGCACAAATAATAATACAATTAAATAAGGGATTTACATACGGACACACACGCACGCGAAATAGTGGCAGGATAAATAACCCAGGAGGAGAGTGGTATCGGAGAGGGGGGTAAAAAAATATATTAAAAAATTTAAAAAAAAAAAAAATATTACGAGAGAGTCGGAACGTTTTTTCTTCTTCTGGATATCAAACGGGGGGGGTAAAGCCACCGTGGAAGGGGAGAACAGAAAGAGGGAGGTGGTAAGTAATCCAACGACGGGAGATTAAGATCAAAATCCTCCCTGTTCCTCTTGTCTTCTCATTCGCGTAAGGAGGGGAGGGAGAGGAGGTAAGGTGAAGGGGTAATTGATCCAACAAGAGAATAAAAAATGGGGTAATTAATCCAGGGGGGCTAGGGGTAAAAATCAGTTGACATCCCTCCTTCCTCTCTTCTCAGATGCCAAGCAGAGAAGTAGGAAAAATAAATAATCCAGCAGGGGCAATTAATCCAGAAACCTCCCTCCTCTTCCTCCTGTTTCTTTAGTCATCAGATGAGAAAGGGGCAAATTGTGGAATGACTGGGAAGGATTGGCTGTGGGAGAGAGAAAAATCCAGGCTCGTCTCTCCGGAGTCCGAGGGCAACAGGGTGGGGGGGGTCAGATTCTTCTCCCCTGCTCCAAAAATACTCCAAATAAATTAAAATTTAAAATCATAAAAACAAACTTTAGGGGCCAGAAGCAAGGCGAGTCTGAAGAATTCGTAAAGGCAGGACAAGAAAAATTTCCTGGGGTGTACCCCAAAAAAACATCTGCGGGGGCAGGGGAGGGGAGAAGGTATTCCTTGAGCGAGAAAGGCCGCAAAAGTCTCCTTGGCAGCTCAGCGGGGGATTTCATTCCCCTGTGGAAACCCCCCCTCCCCAAAGAGGGATACTCTTCGCAGAGAGGGCGAAACCAAAATATCCTCCGTTGGGTAAAAATCCTTCCGTGGGGAAAGGAGGGAGGGGGAGAGGGGTGGAAGGAGAAAATTGCGGGTGACCCTCGAAGTCTCTTCGGGGAAGGATGGAGGAGTCTCCCAGAGGCCGATCGCCAGTCTTTTCGGGGAGGAGGAAGGGGTAAATCGCAGAGTGTCTTCAGGGAGGCTCGCCCCCCCCAGCTGTCCTCCGGGGCC